GATCAACTCTATGAGGTATCTAAGAAAATCTAGTAGGCAAAATAAGTGTCAAGGACTGTGACCCAGTACTATATTGATCTTGTTACACTATGGATGGAATGTGACTTGCACTACGACTACACTTGGGATTCTCCGCCCGACCTATCCTTGTTCTAGAAGATTGTAGAAATGGATCCCATGTTCCAATTCTTGGCTGGCCTTAACAAAGACCTTGACGAAGTCCAGAGCCGTATTCTTTGTCGGGATCCTCTTTCTTCCGCTCGCGCAACCTTCACCAAGATTCTTCGAGAAGAAAGCCAGATATTTGTCATGCTTGACACTTCTACTACTTTAGCCTAATCGCTTGCCTTGATCTCAAAAAGTGCTCGGCCCTCGTTCATGCCATATCGGGTCGGTCACTCCATTTGTGATTACTGTCACAAATCCAATCACAATCGAGATAATTGTTGGAAACTTCACAATAAGCCAACGTACAAATCCTCTGCCATCAGGGTCTCACGGCGATGTTCGAGCATACCCAAACTCAACAAAATCCTACGTGGAACATCTCACAATCCTCCAAATCCCAGAAAAACCAGATGGAACAATTGATCAAACTTCTTGGAGCCAATCAAGTCTCTGCGGTTCGTCGACTTCCCATGTCCTATAAGGTACCTTTTCAATGACTCTCACGGTTTATTCCTCCTTTAGTCCGTAGATTATTAAATCAGGTGCTACATTTTAAAAGACAAATATGAAGTTGCTATCATCTTCCAAAACTTCTTCACCTCCATTTTAACTCAATTCAAAACTCTTATTTAGCTCCTTCAGACCGACGATGATCGTGAATTTATCAACTCTATTTTGGGTGAATTCTTGATAAATAAGGGCATCCTCCACCATAGCTCATGTACGAACACTCCTCAATAAAATGGGGTAGCCGAGTGAAAAAAACATCACATCTTCTTCATTGCTTGCTCTATTATGTTTCAATCTAATGTCTCAAAATAGTTTTATAACAATGTCATTCTAACTACCACTGTCTCATAAATAGAGTCTCATCTAAAATTCACAAGTTTCAAACCCTCTTAGCCGTCTTGATATCGTGCTTCCCTACCAATCGGGTTTTCTCCAAATTAGATCTCATGGTTTTTGAGTGCACAACCTTTGTATAGAACACTGTCCTCACTTGAAGTAAATTTGATCCAAGATCCATAAAATGTATCATCCTTGGGCACTTCGCGAATCAAAAGTGTTTCCTATTTTTCTAGGTTGGCCTCAAGTGAGGGGGAGCTTGAGTTCTCCAACACGATATGGATGCTCCCTTCACTGTTCATGCCACTGAGGAGTCTCCTATTCCGTTGAGTACATCATGTCCTCCCATTGTCTGTGTCTGCACTCGACACACTTTCCCAATGCTCCTACTCTGCAGTCCACTACCTTCTTACAGGATCACTCCAAGCGACATCCTCAACACGACTCCTTTGAATGAGGAAGTGAGTTCTCTTAGTAAGTTATGAAATTAAACATGCTCACTCTATTCTATGATAAAATATGTCTCTTTCCACAGTTGATCGCCGACAAACAGAGCATTTGCCACCGCCCTGAAGGACGATTAGATCCTGCTACTGTTGAGGTTGCTCTTGTTGATTCAGCCTGGAAACCAACAGTAATGGAGGAGATGAATTCCCTTCAACGAAACCATACATGGGACGTGATGGGCTTTTATCGGGGTAACAAAATTGTAGGATGCCGATGGATTTTTAGCACCAAGTTCAACTTTGATGGGTTCTTTGAACGCAACAAGACAAGATTGGTCGCCAAAAAATACTCACAGACCTACAAAGTTGACTATGAGGAGACATTTGCTCCAGTGGCTATGTTAAACACTGTTAGGGTCTTGTTGCCACTTGCGGTGAATATGGATTGACCTTTATTCCAACTAGAGGTCAAAAATGCATTATTGAATGAAGAACTGACATAAAAGGTGTATATTTCTCCTTCTTCGGGCTTTGATTCTACTGTGCCCAAAGGAAAGGTATGTGGGCTACAAAAGTTCATCTATAGGATAATGTAGTCTCCCATGGCTTGGTTCGGCAAGTTCACAAAGGTGGTCGTGGGTCTTGGTTTTACTCAGACTCAATCATATCACATCCTTTTCTTCCGACATTCCTCCAATAGTCAGACATTTATTCTTATTGTCTATGTTGAAGATATTTTTCTTACAGGTAACGATCTCTTAAAATTGTAGTCCTTAAAAGAGATTCTTGCTATATCCTACAAGATGGACTTAGGATCTCTCCGGTACTTCTTAGGCATGGAAGTGGCTTGGTCATCCCTAGGAATTTGCCTGTCTCAGTGCAAGTATATGACTGATCTCTTGACAGAGAATAACCTTCTTCGGTGTAAATCTATTGCTGTTCTTATGTATCCTAATGAAAAGATATCTTACATTCCCAATCCCGTCCCTGTGAACAAGACTCATTACCAACATCTTGTGGGAAAACTCTTCTACCTCGCTCACACTCGTCTCGACATATGCCACATAGTTGGAATGATGAGTCAATTCATGCATGACCCCTACTTGCACCATCTCCAAGCTGTCCACCGGATTCTTCACTATTTGAAAGGTACTTCAGGCTTAGGTTTGTTTTTCTCCCATCACAGCTTTAGGTCTATTGTTGTTTATACATATGCTGATTGGGCTAGATCAGTTGCTCATTTGTATGGGGCAATCTTATCAAGTGGAAAAACAAGGTACAATATGTAGTTGCTTGAAGCAGTGCTGAAGCTGAATTCTGGTACATGTTCTTAGGAATCTGTGAAGTTCTTTGGCTACGTATCACGCTTCACAAACTCTGTATGCCAACTTTCATCCTACTGCAGCTATTCTGTGATAATAAGACCGCAATCAGCATTGGTCGCAATACAGTCCAGTATGATTGCACCAAACATGTGTAGATCGACAAACACTTCGTTAAGGAAAAAATTTAATTCAAGGAGATTTGTGTTCTATATGTGCTCTCAAGTGATCAACTATCGGACATCCTCACCAATAATCTTCCTCGCTCTTTGTTTGATGACTTCAAGTTCAAGTTGAACATGACTGATATCCACGCTTCAACTTGAGGGGGAGTGTTAGATTATAATGACAATTGTTAGTCGTTAATATTTATTATTTGTTTTTATGCTCTCATTATGTATTTCCTATTTTGCTTTATTCTGTTTTATTTTCTTTCATTTATTATGCCTAATATAAATGGGTTTAAATACCCTAACTTCTATCAATAATATTGTGCTATTATATTCCAAATCTCCACATTAATAAGTAACACTCCTGAGCAGCTTTTTACTCAAGTAAACAAGTCTTATGGAGCCTATTAAGCTGAGAAATGAGAATATAATTGAATGAACTATTAAGTAAGCAAACAGTTTAACAAGTATAAAAAGTATTTTGTATTCATGAACAAGAGCAATGTAAAATAGGAAAGAAAAACTCCGAGCTAATCTGATATTTAATATTTTAATGAATTTGTAATCAAGTTTTAAATGAGCACTTTATCGATGTTTAATCAAGCTTCTTAACAAACTAGTTAATGAGTTCTAAACAATATTATTCATGATCATTAATGAATAGAATACTATGCTTGTTCATTTATCAATTCAATATTTACAGAAGTGTTTGTATTTGTTTGATTATTTAAATAAAAGATCATGAATGAGTGATAAATGAACAGCAACTTTCAGTTCAGTTTGTCGGGTGTATTTGCAGCATCACTCTAAACTGATATTTTTGGGAAAAGTCCAACAACAGTATTCTTAAAGCCATCTAACCTCAAGCCATTTCCTCCAGTTTACCACTTATTTCTTGACAGCGTTTTTTGTAGGGGCATTTACATGCATACCACTTAATCCTGTGTATTTACATATTTAACACCTAAACCTTACTTTTTTTACATTTATACCATTAAAACCTTTCATATCACATAAAAAATACCACCTTTTTAGCTTTTAAAAAGTGAAAATACATTTTTTCATGCATAGGTTATGTGGTATGTATTTAAAAATTGAAGTTCGTGTGCACACTCACACAAGAATTGGGTGGTATTTATGTAAATCTTCTTTTTTATTGTGTAAACTTTACTAAATTAGTTTGCCAACATAAGATCAGAGAGAGTTTGAATGATTACACTAGGAATGTTGGAAGTAGAGGTGGGGATGAGATGAGATCAAATATACATATAGCTAAAAATGCAAAAGGCTGAGCAAAATAAAAGCAAATATCACATACATTATTCAATAAGATATTGACGAAAATTTCTAGAAATTGATACCCAACTGGCGGTTTAGTGCCAAGGAGATGATGGCTATGTTCGTTTTAAAGCTAATTTAGATGAGATTCGGTTAATTATCAAAGACATCATTCTTTTTGCCAATGTCACATTAAACGTGTACCGATTGATGATTCTATTAGGAGAGTAGATTTTTTTAGATTCAACTTATGTTAAGAAAAGCAAAGATAGACTTAAAAAGACATGGGCATATTGTATAAAAAATGATCTTAATTTATTAGAATTAAATGGAAATATGACATTCAATCAGACACAATGAACGAAAAAAAATCATTTAGCCAACCCCATTTAGTTGGATAAAGGCTTGTTGTTGTTATTGTGGCGTTCTTTTTGCCTGATGAAATGCTCCTATGAATATATTATTAGTTAAATACCACCCGATTCCAATATTTTTAAATATCTAACACCTAAACTTTACTATTTTACAATTACACCACTCAAAATTTTCACATCAAGTTAAAAATCCCTCCATCTAAAACTCAAAACACACCTTTTCACACATAGGTAAGATGATAATTATGTAAAAATGGAAGTATAGATATTAGATATGTAACCACATAGGAATTGAGTGTTATGTATATAAATCTTCCTAACACTAAACTGCAAAACCCATTAACAATTATTATTTTTCTCTTTTTGACATTTATTTTGCTTTTCCTGCTGTTTCAGTGACAAACTTCGGACATCAAGGACCGCCATTTCCGCAGCGGATGTCACCAATGAGTACACACTCGGCTTGCCAGGACAGGCCTTCAGCTTCTCTCACTGTCAGAACAAAATCACAGTGGCTGAAGCCTCTGGACTCACCGGTGAGATATCTCAAGCCGAGCAGTTCATCCGAGAGCACGTCAAACCCTAGATTCATTACCTTACTGCATGTATTCATGGCTAAGTTTTTCTTTCACTGTCATAGAGTACTGATTATGTATTTAAACGCCAGAGTGTGTTTTAAGTAGTAATTTAAACCATGATAAAGCCATATTTTCTACTTAGTTGGCTTAGAAGCTGTGTCCCAGCTAATGTAGGCATTTAATTGTGGCTATTTTGTTTGATTTTATGAACTTTTATAGGCTAATTTGGTCGAAGCAATATGTTTTCTCTTGTTAAAGTTAGATTGTAATTGGTCTGGTCTGCTTTACAGGAAATCAGGGAAGGATGCTTTTTATATTTTAGAAATGCCAATAGTCATGGGGCTTGTTTGCCTATTTCTCTGCTGTGTGGCTCTACTATACTTTGCTAATTTAGAATAGAAATTATGCTTTTGCCTTTCGTTGTCACGCATGAAAAATTTGAATTGCTCTATTTTGAAATCGAGCTAAACATGAGTTAGTTTAAATTTAAATAAAGAGGAACACAAATATATTTTTTTTCAAAACAAGAAGGCGCATGGTAAAAAGCTACACACACACACTATATATATATTCAATTTTAAAATAACATATTAAATAAGAAATTTATTATAAAGGCCACTTAGTTACAATTAGGGGTGTAAACGAGCCAAACACGAACGAGTCCATATTCAGCTCGTGTTCTGTTCGTTAAAAAAATCACTATTCGTGCTCGATTTGTTTATATTTTGAACACAAAAAAGTTTGTTCATGTTCGACCCGTTTGCTTAACGAGCCGAACACGAGCTGTTCGCGAACAAAGTCTTTTTGATAATCATAATCACACATCAATAGGATGTTAAAGGTTGGGACAAGATTTAAATCTTATAATTTATATTAAAACGTCATTTAAATATAATTTAAAATATTTTTATTTTATTTTTTAATTAATAATTTTAATTGATTATAAATATTTGTAGCCTTGTAGTCAATTAAAATTTTTAAAAATACTACCCATCAATATATATATATATATATATAACCCCACGACGTGGGGGATCGAATTTCAGA